TTTTCTCAAAAAGAAGTGGTGAAATGAAGGGATATTACCAAACCTGGCAACCCAAAAGTTGCTCTTAAAAAATAAAGTTTCTACTCACAGCGTAAACATAATGATTTATATGGTGCCCTGCCCTAATAAAAAGCTAGAATAGCCTCAAACTACTGAAGTTCTAATTATGCAGATTGTTAAAGAACCAATATTTAGTGCGATTCAATAACTGCTGTGTTTGTGCATCTTTGTCATTCATCGTATTCAGCAGGTCTGCAGCAGTTTCATAAACTGTGTTCTTTTATAAACGGGAACTCTTCAGAAAATGCCTTTTTTCCCGCTCATAGTTTTACAATAATTTTATCAGGATTAATTGTCTCTTCAGCGAAAGCACCAGGATTTGAACGCATAATGCTCGAGCTGTTTTGAAGTCGTATATTTTTTTTTACGTAGCTTTTGTAACGCTGCTTGTGTTTCATCATGCATATAAAGACATGGATTTAGAAGAAAGGAAGCACAGCCTCACTGGATAGGAAAAAAAAAAAAACTCACAAGGCTAAAAGGGGTTGAAAATCTCCTTTTAAGCTTTAAGCAATCATGATGTGATATTTCAATCGCCCTCCCCGAGGGCATAAAAGTAAATCTTGTGTGGAAAATGGATATTGATTATGCAGCTATACAGTTGCCATTGTGCTTTTAGTTCTCAATTACAAGGCGCAAATCAAATTGACCTGCAAAAATTTGAGCACAAAAGCTTGTTGAACCCGAGGAGACAATGTATGTTAATTTTTCCAAATCATCCCACTTATTGTTTCGGTGCAGCTGGCTGGCAGCACGTAAAGAATCGCGTCAGAGTTTCTGCGTTTATTTGAGTCTCCGTGCAGTTTATATCAATAACTTTTTGAGCTTTTCTGCTGGCCGGCTTACATTACCGGCAACAGTCTTCACGCTGCAGACAGATGTGTCACAGCAGTTTATCATGTGAACCCTTAAAAAGCAAAGATTTATCGAGTTTGTCGAAGCACGGGGGGGATGGAGAGAGGGTTTTAGACTAAATGCTCCGCTGGGAGCGGTGGCGGAGTGCTGCTGCTGCTCAGAGGGTGATTCTGCTTGAGGCGGCCCGACAGCAAGCTCGACGCACACACACACGGGCAGACAACACACACACACACACACACACAAGTATTCCAGCTATAAGCAACATGCACTCATTTACTCTGTTTCTCCTCAACACAGACATTCACAAATGCCAGCAGCCCCTCTCTCCCATCTGTTTTCACCGTGGAAATCGATAGCTGCGGAGCCCAACTGGACAGAGTAGTAGTGGAAAAATAAAGAAATCAATGCAGACTTATTAACTGAGCCGAGCTTCCTTTACCGCTGACACAAAAATATGTGTGAGTGTTTGTATCTGACTCGGTCTGTGTCTGTGAATGATGATGGCTGCTGCTGGTTGTAGGCAGGATGTGCGAACGCATAAGCATCTGTGCGTCTTCCTCTGTGTGTGTGTGTGTGTGTGTGTCTGCCAGTCAAGAGAGTGTGTGTGTGTCCCTGAATGTTGGTGGCTGGTGCTTGTGTACAAGTGCTACTTTGTAGGTGTGCTCTGCATGTTTATGAGCGTGTGTATGTGTGCATTTTCTTTGTGCGCGCACGGTCGAGCCTATCTCTCAAAGTCAGTGTGTTACTCTTGGGTTAGTGCCACAGCGTTCTCCCGGTGCCTTGGCCTCACTCTGTTTGTGGACAGAAGGATGCTCTAAGACAAATGATTTAGCACCTGTCAGTCAGCGCAGAAGGACGAGAGATGAGAGAAGAGAGAGGTCAGAGACTTGGAAAGGGAAAATGATGGAGGCTTTTAGGGAAACCGTGAAGGGAGCTGAGGACTAAAAGGGGTGAAAGAGGAAAAAGGAGAAGGGAAAAGTTGGAGCCAGAGAAGGAGAAAGAGAGTCTGAAAAGAGAATTTACGATTTAGCTCTGGGTCATCACATAGCTCAAGTGCCTGTGAGCAATTTTCCCTGGGAAATGACAGCTTCTATTTCTGCGGAGTTGTTTGCCTAACGCCAGCTCACAGGAACTGTGGCTGGCCTTCAGGCCCCGCGAGCAGACCTTCCCTCATCACAAGAGTTACCATAACAACGGATGAGGCCGACCTGCACCGGTGGCAGCACAGGGATGTGAACTTTGCTTCTGCCTCCAGCACACTGGCTGTCTGCTGCACCTCCGACACATCAACACCTACCCTTCTTGGAAAAAAAAATAAGAGAAAAATCACAACAGCACTATGTGGTGTATTTTTTTTTTTTCTTTCTGTGCTGTGAATGTTTGGCCAGCATGCCTGTGATTGTTCAGCAGTGGATGATTTGTGTGGGGTGTGAAAACAGAGCTCTATGTCAAGAATGAAAGAGACAATTGTAATTTCAGAAATGCCCAAATAAACAAACTCCGAGCTGATCTGGAGTCCACCGCAAGATAATGTTTGCAGAGATGTGCGCGATGCTTGTTAGGGAGGTGGATGCTGATAGTGAATGCTGAACAGGCTTTGTGTGATGTGGGGGTTTATTAGATTTCCTTTGGCATTTGTTGACTGACATGTGCCCTGGCGGGGGCCTTTGCAGCCGCACTCCTTTGACACGCAGATCTATATACACAACATTAAGCTCTAATCATCCTATTTACACATTTTCACACAGTCAATAAAGATATATTGCTGACCTTGTTTTTTTTTTCCAATGCCGAACAAAGCAGCTCCCTCTATGAAAATGTCGACAGCGCCGAGAGCGGCTTAGCTAACAAGCATCTGATTGTGCAGATTACGCATGTTCCACAGAGGATTACTGAGACTGAAATGAACAAATTGACCTCTTACCAATGAAATCCCACATCAGCATGACAAAAGACGAGAGTCAAGTGAGCGCAGGCTGAATGTGAAACAGCGGAGCGTATACTGTACTGTAAAACAAGTGTCAGCAGCATTATTTAAAGAACCCCATCTCCTGTTGTTTTTATTTTCGTCGTCGCCTCCTTTCAGTTCGCGGGCCCCCGATAACGCCGTAGGTTATCCTCGCGCGTGCGTCTCGCGGCGCTGTCCTAACGCCGCATGCATAGTATTATTGTCTTCTTTAAAAGACTAGCGCTGAAATGAGCAGGGAAATGCAAAAGCTATTTTCTCTACCTGGCAGGGTGTCATTTGCATTGATGTCGGGCTCATATCCTAACAACAAATATCAGACGGTGCATCCTGTTCTGTGGGTATTCTTAGCTGAGGGCAGGCGGGTGTCTCTGGTTCCCTTCTGACACTTTTCAAGCAAGTCAAAGCTATTTAGAAGTCATCTCACTGTGAGAAGTAACAAAAGCTCAATGACAGACCAAGGCCTTATTCAAAATTCAATTTTTCTGCTTTCTCTTCCCAACAATGAAAATACATAATTTCTCTCCATGCTTGTTTGGGGAGAGCTCTAGAGAGGAAATGGCACGCTTTTGTTAATAAGCGTCTCTCTGTTTTCTGCCGAGAGAAGGCGATTGAACAGCTTATGTAGGTCACATTGTATTAATCTAGCTGGCTATCCTCGTAAATGCGCTCTAAATCAAACATACAATATTAAAATCCAGTTCATTGCTCATTCGCTTAATAATGCAGTGTGGCTGCACTGAGAATTACTGCTCCGCCACTGAAATAGGGATCCCAGTGCTTTTGCGCTTAGGCATTAAATTACCAGTCTGGATTATAGCGCTACAAATGGGACATGCTTGATATTAGTCTGACAGAACAGTTCAAACAGCCGGCAAACTAAATATTTATCAGTCGCCCGTTTATTTCAGACACGGAACCCTTTCATCACTTGGCTCTAATGAGATCTGCACGTATTCTAATAATTAATAAAGTGGAGGATCTTCAGATCACTCAAAGCAAGATGTAAATGCTATCAATTAACTGTCGAGGGGGAAGGCTGAAATCTTAAGCAAACCAGAAATTTCATAAGTCAGACGAGCTTAATGGGACACGGAGACGTGGCCGAGGCGCGCATGAATGTTTTATAACAATGTGAGACTTTGCATGGAATCAGTGCTTCTCCACTGGAAGGAGCGTCTCGAGGATGAGGCAGGCGGCGCGGCGGATGACAACGGTAAATCTACCTGCTGTCACCGGAGCAGAATGACGGGCGCAGTGTGACATTTCAACATGCATTATATCTCCAACCCTGCAGTATCTTCATGTGATCTGCAGCCTGATACGAACGCTGCTGGGCTGATATTGGGCCGCGAGTCGGAGGCCGTTTTGATGTGAACAGCCAAGCAGAACAATAAATCCCTTCCGGGATGTATAGAAATAAATAAAAAAAAGCACATGGATGAGTTGCTACATGATGGGTTTATATCAAAGGAAGATATTGCTGTAAGGTGCAGCGAGCAGTCGATACTGACGGTTTTGATCAGATGATTAGAGCTGGTTACCACTTGAGATTTTCTCCGAGGAGGTAAACGTGGTTTGTGAGATTAGAAGGGTTTCAAAACAGAGCCTCCGTTATTCGGTTGCTGCACATTTGCACGTGTGTGTGTGTGTGTGTGTGTGTGTGTGTTTATATAAGACAAAGAGAGAGACAGAAATAGAGGGAGAGTGTGAGTGTGTTTGTGCATGCATTAAACAGACAAGAAGAGAGGTCCTTGAGGCAACCTGCACATCTTTTATCACATCTTTAATTAATTGAAGCCCATAATAGAAGCCGCCGCAATTCCACTGAATAGACACAGTTGAATGGAAAACAGCCGGGGATGAACAGATATGCTTATATTCTCGTGCTTTTTTGTCAGTCCTCAGCTCCCCCCCTACCCTCCTCCACTTCCTTCCACTTGCCATTTCACAGTCATCTGCTTATACAACATATCTGCAGCCGCTGTCACTCTCCGCTTTGAAGATGAGCTACATTACAGCGACGGGTAAAACGTTGGCTGTAAATGAGGCGACGCTTACTTTCCCTCTTCCACCTTTTCTCCTCAGGTTCCGTGACAGAAACCGTGACGCCACCATGGGCCTCTTGCGGTTCTCCGGGCTCGTCCTCATCATCCCGGCCCTGGTCCCTCAGCTGTCCCTGGCTTGTCCGTCCGGCTGTCGCTGCTACAGCCTCACGGTGGAGTGCGGCTCCCTCGGGATCAAAGAAATCCCGCAAGGCGTCCCTTCTGCCACCGAGGTCAGTCGGTCAATCGGCAATAAGTTAGGGCACTAGCCGCCGATGCACCATCGACCCCTCCCGCATGGGCAAGTTTTTCAGTTGACTCCCTCTGTGATCCATTCTTATTACCCTGAAATGATTGTGGTTAATCAATTCACCATGACCCTCTTTGATGTAAGCCTAAGGGAGGGGCTGTGCTGTTGGCTGTGTAATTATTCATTCTTGCTCAGAAAGTGACTCTCGCACACCCTCTGATCATCTGTTGAGAAGATGTTTAACATTACACCGTCTTTTCCTCTCGGGTTCAGGCCCCCCAACATTACTGCAGCTCATGAATATTAATGAAAAGCATGTCCCGCATAAATTGTTCCATTAACCTCAATCAGCAGGTCTATCTCGTCGATCATACTTTACCTCGTGGCCCTGTGTTTTCCACTGTGAAAACATCTCCCGGTGAATGCGCATTACCAATCAAGCAGACAGCCATGCATTGGTGATCACACATAGAAAGCACTCCTCCTGAAGCTCCAATCAGCCATTTTTTTTTTTTTATGTTGTTGTTTTTTTCTTGTTTGATGGAATATGTTTACTGACAAGGTCTGTGAGTTTGGCAGAAGAGCTGAAGCGCAAGACTGGAAAAACTCAGCTCAGCCCACATTGTCATTATTATCGTGATTCAGAACCAGCTCATTCCACGTTGTTTGGATTGCCTGCATTAACATACATCCAAAGCTCCGCACAGCCCAGCGAGATAGCTTTCAAGGTGGCCCTGTTGCTAATGTAATCTCTCCCTAAGGTTAATACATTTTTCTACCCACTGAGCACAGCGCGGCAACACGCTCGCTTTCTTGCTCAAAACAAACACCAATTCAAACCTCACATCCCATATTCCGTCTCCCCAATGCTATCACTTTCTATTCGCTAATTTCATTCATTCTCTCTTCCGTAAAGACCATCTTCCTCCAGGACAACGGCATAGTGCAGATCCGTCTGCAGGACCTGACTCGCCTGGGTAGCCTTCATTATCTGTACCTCCAGAACAACAGCATCTCGGCGCTGGAGCCCGGAGCCTTCCTCAGCCAGGGTCAACTGCTGGAGCTCGCCCTCAACGGTAACCTCATCCACCTGGTGACCCCTGACATGTTTCGAGGTTTGGAGCACCTCCGGATCCTCTACCTCGCCGGCAACCAGATCACACGGGTGCAGGATCACACCTTCAGAGGACTGCAGGTTGGTTGGCGTGTAGGATGGAAAGGGTTAATGCACAGTTTGATTTGACTGTTCCAGAAACCAAATGTGGAATTGCTTTTTATGGATTATATAGAATGACATCTGCAACTGTAAATCCAATTCATGTCTACATGACTGACTAATCCCCGCGTACAATAATACAGTGAAGACTGACACAATTGGAGCCGAGTCATCCTCCTGTCTTTACATGTGACAATTCTATCCTTGCTTTAACTTGCACTTTTCATGCTTACCTTCCTCTGCTTTATGTAATTTTTTTTTATTGTATGCAGCGTCTACAGGAGCTCCACCTGCAGGAAAACAGCATAGAGCTGCTGGCGGAGCAAGCTCTGTCGGGTTTGTCATCTCTGGCCCTGTTGGACCTCAGCAGGAACCATCTCCGAACCCTCGGAGCGTCGTCCCTAAAACCGCTAGTCAGCCTGCAGGTGCTCCGCGTCACAGGTAGGCAGAAATCCCACATCGCATTATATGTTACTGTGATATAATCCTCCACATTTGATTTGCATTCAAGGTGCTTTGAATAATTCTCCTTCAATGCGACAGTTCCTAATGAAGCCCTGCCAGAGCACTGAAACTCACACACTACCACATTTTTAACAGCCAGCCACACCAGACACCCTCATGTCAAGGAAAATTAAGTTCCCTTAAACACATGTTACATATCAAAGGTTTTCACCCATCCAAAGGCCTTTAATGAGAAAAAAAGTCCCCACAGACAGCATTTTAAGGAGTATATTGAAGAAACAGCCAATTAAAGGGACCTCATGGAGAGGACAATTAAAGGGCCAATTTAAGTCAGACCAGCCACTTCTCTAACTTCACAAAGGCAGCAATCCAACAGTCGCTCCCACTTCACTCTGTGATTGGCCAGCCGTGCAGAGGCAGCGACAAAGGTGTCAGGGATTGAACTTTTTCTCTCAGCTCCTTTTTGATCTTGGCGCAATCATTTTTGTCACTTTTCATGTGATCCACAATGCTTCCTATAAAAGACTGTGAGACTGAAAATGTGCTTTGTCATCCTCATTTTTCATCATCTCTCCCCTCTGACAGCAGACTTTTCACTCTACCTTCGAGTGTGGTCATTCGTAATGACTGTAAACACTTCTGATTTCCAGCATGGTTGGACAACAAATTAGCTACGATTGAATATACCCTCACCCGTTGTCCTGCACTGGGCTCTAAAGAGTTTCAATTACAGTAAACAAAATGAGTTTGTTTACCAAAATCCCACTTCAAGCTCCATTTAGCCGCTCTTCTGATGCTTTCGATCGGTTGAAAGTTTTGTTGAGTTGTCATGGAAATGTCATCATGCTCGCTTAAAAGTTGAAGTCCTAAGTTTGTTCTTGACTTTCAAAACAGTACGTGACAAAACTCTACCCTTGGTTTACCCTTTCTAATTCCTCTCCTCCAGAGAACCCCTGGCGCTGCGACTGCGCTCTCGGCTGGCTGAGAACTTGGATCAGCAAAGACGGACAGCGTCTGTTGAGTTCTGCAGAGCAGCGTCGGCTGATGTGCTCAGAACCTCCTCGACTTTCCCACCTCAGCCTGGTGGAGGTGGCTCCCAACAGTCTGGTCTGCATCCCTCCCGTGGTGCAGCTCGAGCCCAGCCACCTGACCGTGCGACTGGGAGAGAGCCTCCGAGTCTCCTGCCAGGCCTCGGGATACCCTCAGCCTCAGGTGACTTGGAAGAAAGCCTCCCATGGTAAGGCCCAGTTGTCACCTCGAGGCCTGGTTCAAGAGCTGGGTCCCAACGGGGAGATGTTCAGGCCCGGGGCTGCAGGAGTGGTGACAGCCCTGCCCAGCGGTGGAGGGATCAAAGTGGGAGGCGTTGGAGGAATCCAGGGGCTTGTGCGTGGGACTGAGGAGGGCGGCGAGAGGGACAGTTTTGATCCGGACATGGGCAGCGGCATGCTGTTCCTCAGCAATGTTACAGTGGCGCATGCTGGCCGCTACGAGTGCGAGGCCTGGAATCCTGGCGGTGTGGCCAGGGTTACGTTTCACCTCGCTGTCAACATGTCTTCTTCCTCGTATTCATCCCAGTTCTGGCCTCGTTTGAACACGCACTCCTTTGTTTCGTCTTCGTCTAACTCCTTCTACCAGCCAGAGGTTCTGGATGTTAGCCAGGAGCCGCTGTACGAGCAGGACAGTATGGACTTCAACGCCCTGGGTCCTGCCACGCAGACCGCTATAGCTGTTGGCATCTCCTTGCTGGCACTCACTGCTGTCCTCCTCTTGATTATGATCTACACCCGTCACCAGCAGTACCAGAAAGAGGACAATGGCTCCTACTGCACCAGCAAGGAAGAGAGCATCCTGTATGTGAACGACTACTCCGATGGACCCACCACCTTTGCGCAGCTGGAGGAGTACCGCGACGACCACGGCCACGAGATGTACGTTCTCAACCGGGCCAAGCCTGTCCTGGGCTCCGCTTCATCCAGGTGCCCCATGATGAGCGGGTTTGTCCAGCAGAAGGGCATGAAGGAGGCTCTCCTGGACCACGAAATGGTGCAGACACTGACGAGATCAGGGGGAATGGGGCTTCGCAGAAACCCTGCAGACGGAGGAGAGGGACCCCTAACAACAGACCCGGAAGAGCTGTTCCTCAGTCAGAGTCTCCTCTTTGGATCACAGGTTGCCTACGAGATCCACTGCTAAGGAGTTTTTATTGTGTTCTGTCACGACACAGTATACTGATGGACTAAAGACATTACAGGAAATCACCTTGGTGCAATGATTTGAAGCATCAGATTATTATCTGGCCTTCAAAAGAGAGGAGAGTGTCAGTTAGCGGCTGCTGGGGAAATGTGGATCACAACCGGCCTCCCAGAGATCCTCTTCTGATTGATTGTACGACGTTAGGATGGGTGAACTGTGAAAATTAAAGGGAGAATAGCGAATGAGCCACACACACTTCTCCACGTCTCCAAATCAACCCTTTAAAAATAATTATCAGTGGTGAATCTTTTCCGCAGCGGTTAGTCCGACAGTTAAGCTGAATCCTCACAGAAGAGGTTAGTGATTCATATTTTGTTACTAATTTCTTTCTTTCGGTTTTATCCTGTGTTCTGTCTGTGTTTCGTGTAAATATAATGGAGCTAATTTTCACTGTGAAGTACAGTTGTTTTGTGGACCTTGTTGCAGATCCCATTAGAATTAGACCTAAAGCAATCCTCTTACTGAAACTGTATTATCATTACCCATATGTCTCAGTGGGCATGAGTGGGTGGATTTGTTTAAAGAGGTTCACTCTGACTGCAAAAGCAAACCTGTCTTTTTTTTTTCAGCTGTTTGTACCATAGCATTGTATTCCTTGATGTATCATGTCATGTTCTGTTTATTGCAGCACTATAACAAGGAATTAACATTTCTAATGTCTGAAATAAATCTCTGAGTGACCTCACTCCATTAACCTCAGTGTTTATCTACCATTCTAATGTGAATATTGTACATTTTGTCTTTGGTTTCTACATAATAAAATGTATTTTAAATGATTCAGTGTTTCTTTTATTTCAAGGTGAATCGGCCCCTTTAACACAGCTGTTATTGTCAATTCTGCATTCAACTACATTGTACAACTTCCCAGTTTCTTTCTGTCCTTATTTTATTTTATTTTTTTTCATCTTCCCTTCAACCCATGAGCTGTAGCTGGTGAGTGTGAAAAACAGGTTTTCTTCGAGAGATTGTGGCTTTCAGTCACAGCTGTGTAGTCGCGCAGAGGTCAGTCTGTGAGAGGTCCATGGTTCATAAACCTTTTATTTTTCCCCTTTGCTGCTAAGCACTGTACGATCAGGTGCGCTTTCAGAGCTACTTGTAGACGAAGATAGAAGAGTGCTATTGGAAACGTGTTCTGAAAAAGCCAAATAATCTGTGCTTCATACCAAGCCCGAGAGTCATATTGATTCCAAAACATGTCAATATTCTTTTAAAATGGCTGCTATTTCGGTATTTTCAAGCTGCTCTCTCACCACTGTATTAAATGCCACGGTTATTTCATGGAAGTCAATATTGAACACAACCGAAGAGCATTTTCCTGCTGAAAACTATATATTTCTGATAATATTGCCCTCCGTAAACACTGTATACCAAAGACTGTCGGTTTCACGGTTACATAAAGGTGCAGTTCAACTTCATGGGAAACATGCTGTAACTGGATAAATGAAATGAAAAATACTTTATTTATCCCAGAAGGGAAATTCAATAAATCACTGTATGTTGACCTCGAGGGCTGAAGGATGAAGCCAACATGTACCGACGCAGTTCCGTAAATGGCCACTTGGGGCTCGTTTCAAAGAGCGAGTCAATCCTCATAGATCCTCATGTTAAAATGTGCAGGTTTACAGTAGAAAAAAACATGTTGACAGTCGGGTATAATAAATAGTTTTGGTCTCTACAGCTAATTTACCATCCATGACAACTGTGCAAGCGACCGGTTTAAGTTGTTTTAAGGATTAAAGTTATTAAATCATTAAGTAATTAGAGAACTTTGAGTGACAGGTGTCTGCAGAGGTGCATGCAATGCCCACCTCAGCTCCACTTTCGCTCCACCTTTTTGGCAATTTTTAGGTTAGCAAGGACTTTGGAAGAATCAGGAAGCACCACATTGAAGTTCACTGTCCAGGAATTCATCATATAGGGTTTCTCCATCTTTATATACAGCCGATGATTGACATCTTGAGACAAGCGGACACTTCATTCCCTTTGAAACATTGCCTATTATCACAAGTGCTTTAAACAAATTACAAATGCATGCTTATGTCAGAGACCAGTGAAGAGTCAAGCCAAATGCCCGCAAGAAATAATTTCTGCCAAAGGGGACAATGTTCGGATGTGCATCGTATTTCTCACGCACAGTTAGCTACAGGCAATACATGCATTATGGCTGAGGTCACGGAAAGACCGCGGTGTGAAATTATTATTTCCTCATTATGATAATAGACTAATCTTCTCATGTAGCTTGTCTCAGAAAATGTATTTGCTGTGGCAAATTAGTAGCATATAACAAGGAGTGGTAGGAGACAGGAATGAAGAATTAGATGGGGGGAAAATCCAGTTATCGTAGCATAAAGGCTGAAAACAGGGGAAAACAGTAAGGCCGGCTATTTAAAAATACACATCTCACAACCTCTCAGGCTCGTTTTTTTTTTTTTACATTTGTAGCTTTTGGTAGCGACCAGAGTTTTGCTAGATGGACTAATCAGAGAGAATTTCCGATGACACTGTATGTACAGATTCACCAGCAGCAGCCCGACCACTGACAGCTGAGCTAATACCTGGGATAAAAGTAGAACATTACCCAAACAGTGTGGGGAAAAAAAACGACAACAACAACAACAAAAAACCAAAAACCGGACGTGACCATGTGACCGAAGCCCATCACAACAGCTCCTTATCACAGCTGAGGGCGCATTATGCAGCCCTTCTCACACAATGAAAACGTGAAATACCCCTATTCCAGCTCTCCCATGAAGCAAATGGATTTCCTTTGTGCCTACTGTCATATAATTCTCAGGCTGTGTCATTACATGTCCAACAAAGCTCAACTTACAATGGTTGTCATGGGCACAATTGATTCGGTACATATAAGTAAGCTGACTAATGTGACCCACACTGGCTGAGCTATACTTTGTTTTTTTTTCGTTCGGCTCCCAGCAGGTGGACAGAAAAGACAGAAACCTTGTGCAGAATAGCAGAATAATCCTGCAGTAACACGGCCCGGTTTGCTTGTCTGTTTTTTTTTTTTTTCCGAGGGTGTTTCTCTCATTCCGTCCAAACCCCTCTATCACCAAATGCACTAAATTGTTGTTTCATTTTTGTACACTGTGCACCTTCTCTAATCACTCCAAATTATTTTCAAAGAGCCCTACCAGTGTACCTGCAGGCATGTGCTGTTGATTAGAGACCTCCATAAATGATTTAACAGCCAGAGAATTATTCAAAAATAACACTAATGGTAGCAGTAATATGGAAATCGAGGTTTTAATGTACCGCCGCTGCTAAGAGCGCTCCGACTAAGCAGCAGCGTGCGTGTTTTCCAAAATGCGTTTCGTAATGCAGCACAGGTCATCGTATATGGAACGTGTGGATGGATGCTCTCGGATGCGGGAGGAATTTTATGGCTTTTCATGTTTAAGATTCTCGAAAGCACGCTGGAGAGTTGTTAAAAACTGAATATGTTTTCTGAGATTGAGGGCGAGATTACACAGTTTGAGTTCTGGGTATTAAAACCATTCAAGGACAGCCAAGGACAGCTGTCGACATTAAAAATTGAATTCTTTTCATTATGAAAAAAAGAAGAAGAGTAAAAGAAAAAAAAAAGAGAGAGATCTAACACAAATTCAGCAACACATTACCATCATATTATATACTCAGAAAGCGGATGCATACAAGGTTCCATGGCTGGGATCAGATTTCAGCTTCCCTTTCTTTGTACCGACGGTTGTCCGTGATCCCATCAATCAACATGTGGAGTGAGGAAGCAGCAGAGAAGAGTGAGAGCTCATGGTTCTCATACTGATGCTGTTCTTTTTTTTTTTTCCTTCTTCTTCTTCCTTTTTTTTTTTCAACCCATCTACCTTCTTTCAAGTATCTGTTTTCATCTCTCTTCGAACTTGGTTCAACACAAGGGAATGAATTTTTGTAAGAGGTCAAATATGAGATATCTGGCACTGAATTATTGATGCATTTCTGCGTGGCCTCTACAACGGCTTTTTCCCAGAAGAAGGGTTTGTACAAAATTCTTTCTAACGTTAGGTGTCACTAACTTTGAGCTCAGATGTCCTCCTTGCATTTTCGGTTTTGAATTAGCGCGGCTTTGATGCTTTGTTCTCGGGCACTCTGGGGTCAGTCAGATTTATTCATATTTAACAGTTTTATTAATATGAAATATATATCAGAGCAGAGGATTGAAAGTCCGCGGGCACCTGCGGAGAGAGGAGTAGAGCCGTAATCAACCCCCTGTGTGTTGATTCAGACACTGAGGACACGTGTTATTTCCGAAGCCCTGTTTGATTACAATTCCCTGCAGAAAGTGAGAGTTTTATGCATGGCTGTTTTCATTCAAGGCATGAGTAAACAGCATGAGGTTCCTCACCTAGGATTATATGATTGAAAGCCAGAAAATCAATTCAGGTTATAGCTATATTTTTTAAACCAACACTCTGCAAAACAGACAACAGATATAAAAATTTAAGAGGCACCTCTCTCTCTCTCCCACAGAAAGCCTACAGGGCCAGCAGAGCCCCGTGGAAAAGAAGGAGAAAAACATCAATGAATCACGCTGAACTATGAGCATCTTGTTTAATATCTGCAGAGCAATTTCACCTCCTTCGGCTGTGCTTTAGGCCCTCGTGGACCCGAGGGGTCGACGCTGTGACTGACCACCAGTGGACCAGTGGGAGCAAGTGCAAAAGCCTCGATTGATGCGATCAATGCTCAAGAAGTGGCGCTGCTTCGATTTGTTTTTGGTCCCCGATGGATTCAGTGCATCATGGTCGGTTACAGTGTGTGACACCTTTTTTTTTCTTTCAAATGTGCCTTTAAAACCTCCCTTCTGTACATCAAAGTCACATATTTACAAGTTTATTCTCTTAAAATAATCACTTCCTGCCGTTAGATGTCACTCTGCTTGCTTTATAATGTGCAGATGCAATGTTAGA